GCAAATGGATGGCAGAAGAGCTCCCTTCGCAGCGTGTCTGTTCTGGCCGAAGGTATCGAAATGCTGGAGCCTGATGAGAAGCTCCCAAACAAGTTCTTGCCCCAGACCGTTCAAGTTTGGGATTCACATGGATTAACATGGGTTGACATGCTAAAAAAAGCTAAAAACACTTGATATTTGCCTATAATATACATATATATATATTATATATTATATATATATATTTATCCATTTTTCCATTTTATTGCCATTCTCTTTCCGCTTCCAGGCCTGGGAAAGATCCCTGGGAGGTCTTAAGACCGGGTTGCTTGACCAACCAAAGCCCAGCGGCTTAGAGCTCCGTTTCCCGGGCGGCCTAGCCGTGTCTTTCGTCTTCACACGGCCTAGTTAGCAGACCATGAGGTAAACATGGGACCTACAATGGAGCTTTGTGGATGACATCTGCGTGGGGGCCAAGTGCAAAGTAAAATATTGGAGGCTCAGGGGAGCATTCTGAAGCATTCAGCGGGTCTTGACCCCAAACTGTTTCTTCCTGCTGTCTGGAACTTGTGCAAGAACTCCTCTCCAATCTTCATTTGTGCGGGTGTGGGGCGTGAGACACTTTGCACCTAAAACATGCATTTGCAAATGTGAGAAGTTCAGGCTGGGCCCGTGGTCTGCAAGAGTGTAGCTGACGGGCGCGCCTGCCTGGTTGTTTTGTTTCTTGTTGGGCTTTCCAGCAGAATCCTGGCGTCCCGTGTGTTGTGCTGTCTCGCAGGACCATATCTTGAGCGCCTCACGCGATTGCTTTCACTCACCGGTGAAAAGGAGGGCGATTCGTGCGCGTTGAAGCTTCAACGCAGACTAACAAGATGTTTTTCCTCGAAGGGGCCGGCCAAAATGGATCCAACATGATCTCATTTTGGAGTGATTCCTCACACGTCCTGTGCGTTGACAAGGTGCAAGATGTGAGAAGTTCCACGTCTGGCACTGATGCCCGCCTTGACCAGGAACACCTGGTCCGTCCAAAATCGTGGACGGCACAGCTTTTTCCTGGTTTTGCTTCACAGGTTGTGTCAACAAACCTGCTTGCGCTGGCCAGGAGTTTGTGGGGGCTGAACCAGGGTTGGTCACACTGAGCGCTCATCACAGGATGGAGGCCGCCTACATTCGTCGAAGATGCGGGTTGTGCATGTTGTGGCCTGCGAATTGAACAACTCAAGTTCGTGTTGAGAAATGTTTGGAGCAAAGGAGAAGCAAAGACATGGGAGTGCTGGAATCAAACAAGGAAGCCATACTGTAGGAACCCTGGCATTTTGTGGAACCATTTGGAGCCCCAATGTGTCATTGTTTGCATGCCATCATATGGCCGATCACGGGCGTCGACATCGCCGGTGCCTTCGTCGACAGATCTGCAGGTCATGATGCACCGGAAGCGGTGCGACCAGATGAGGCGAGCTCGATGCGACTAGATTCAACTGGATGATGCGACTCCCTGTGTTGCAGTGGAAGTGGATGGCACCACCTGGTTGGGCCGGAACCATGGGCAATCCATCCAAGCGGTGAATTTTCCACTTCTATGATTCTTCCAGGGAGTGTATGCAACGATGTAGATCGATGGTGTATTACTCTTGTATTGTGAGAGTGTGCCTCTTTCTATGCCAAAAGCAGTCTACAAGTTGTCCCTCTCCCAAACAATGTATTACTATGTACTAGGTACTAGCGTTAAGTCGACTCAGCTTGTGGAAAGTCGACTCGAAACCGTGTGCCCTTGCAGAACTGCACTCCACAGGGATGTCTAAGCATAGATTGTATTGATCTATTTCACATGTTTTGCGTTGTACCATGTATTGCTGACCTTCTGCTTGCATTGGAACGGACCGCAACAGAATTGGCCAATTGACCTGAGCAGCGCCAATTAGCATGTTGTCAGTAATAGTATGTAATAGTGTCGGTTAATTGTTGGTAGAAAGACTTAGGATGGAGGCATTTAGCATGTTTTTAGCATGGCTGACCTGGATGTTTTCTAAAAGCTCACTTCGTCTCGTCTTTTTTCTTCGAGCGTCGAATTCAGCAAATTGACATCAAAGTCATGGTGTCTCACGGTATTTGCCACCAGTCTGTGAGCTCCACAATTTCGTCATGCCGTTAGGTCCAGTGAAGCTTGCCCTCCGTGTGCCCTAGCAACTCGACTAGAACGAGTCGTCAATAATTTGCAAATCAAGACTGGCCCGAGGATCATAAAACTTTCTTTTTTCCGACGCAAACAAGTCTCAGCAGGGCTTCGCGTGCATCCCCTACCAGTCACAGGATAGATAATTTTTCCAGACGATGAGGTCACGGCGAGGGCTCGAGAGTGAAATCGGCGGCAATCAGGTCCCTGCCTCAATGGCGCCTTCTCCACCTCCCAACTAACGCAGCACTTCGTTTCGGAACGCTGGCATTCAGATCAATTCCCAAAATGAGGCGTTCAGATGGTCCAGAGTCCACAGTACTCTTTTTTTTGCGTTCCTTCCTTTCCTTCGAAGAGTCCACACTACTCGCGCTACTCGTAGAGGCTTCAATCTCTGTCCAGCGAACAATGAAACCGACACTTGCAATGCCTCAAAGTTAAATAAGAAGGGTGCAATACAACCCTTACATGCCTTACATCAGAATAAGATCTTTACATAAGAAAGGACCTTCACATGAGCCTCGGCACGGTGTGCATGTTCATATCTTCATTGGTCTTACATACAATGACTCACGTAAACTGAACTACAAATACAAGGCTACGAGGACGATCGAAACAAGGACCGGACCTTTATTCATAGTTGCTGCCCTGCCTTACAAACACCCCGGCACCCCTGAAAGGGAAGTGTGCACAAGTATCGATCGGCACTAAATCGGGGTCCCGTATCATAAAGCGATAAAGCCCTACCATAAGCCTTAGTGCACCCTATATTATGATAGTAGACTTTTTCCCCTGTTATCATATACAACATGTTTAATGTGTTTGTATTTATAAATGTCATTATGTGATGCTTGGCAGATTTCTATGTAGAACCTGTGCGAACTTCAATGGACATATGTACTACTTTAATGCACATTACCAATCCCATCAAGCAGCAGGCACATGCAGGTACTACAGTAAGAATCCAAAACAACACCCAGCTGCAATAAGTCAATGCTTGTAGCATTAGCAACATAAACCATCATTCGATCTGAATAGGATCCTTGTAAAACACATGTCCTTCGCACAAGCCTCAGCGCAAAGTTGTGGTTTTGTCTTACGCAAGAAGCCTTGCTCTACCACAAGCCTTAGCACACAAAAGCAATCTCATTCCAATATGAGTCTGTTTGTCACAAGTTTTCAGGAGACTTGTTTGATAAATGTAAACAAGTGCCCTATGAACTTGTGTCCGAGAAGCATTATAAAAGGATACCAACGTCCGAGCGATCATGTCCGGCTTTACGCACACACCACCAAGCATTTTGTGCTCATTTTGTGTTCATTGTGCCCACCATGCTCACTTTGTGTTCATGCAAACTTTGTCCATTATATACGATCTTTGGAACTCCATTCAAAGGCCGCAAGAAAAGCCGACAAAACACACTATTGCAGTGAGTCAATTCCAACTGAAGGAACAAACTAAAACGGTTTTTGTTGGAAAAACGTGCACTTGCTGCTGTATTTTTCCGCACGTGAAGAAAACGGTTCTTCGGGGGTACTGTACCAGACCAATCCTAAACCGTGCCAAAACCGAACGCAAAACGAAAATGGTACCACGATAAAGACCGGGGGTGTTCAGGTCCAACCCTGGACCAACCCAATCCAATGGCAACCAATTCAAAGCCATGAGGGCATAAAAATATAAAAAGAACCTCGGGTGTGCATTTGGAAAAACATATATGTTAGTGTTAGGTTGCATATGGGTGATTGACCTTGACATGCGCATGAACACATGGGTAGTTTTTGGTGCTTGCTCGATGCAAAAAATTGATCAAAATTACAAGCAGCAAAATTGTTGCACCAAAAACTGTGTGCTTGCTATCTTTCGCAATCTCTCGCAGTTTTTGGGTTTGGATTGGGTGGGACGTCCAGAGATCGATTTTCCCAAACATCTTTGGTACCTGTGAATGTTCCTTTCAAGGTGGGGTACAACGTTCAAGGCTCGGATGTTTTTGGATTATTTTGTGGTTGTAACGTTTGATTCGCATTAATGATTCGCGTTTTGTATTTCTGTCAGTGGGCGTTTGCTTAGGATTGCTTACCCAAAGCAGACAGATGTGCTGTGCTTGATAAGCAGATATTTCATGACGGAAGAAACGGTATGCCCATATGTTGAACCAAGCATCTGGTGTCGATTTGACTGTGGACCATGCAGTGATGCATACAAGAGTAGTCCTGTGCCTGTGCCTCACTGCCTGAATTCAGGCCGCAAGTGAACCAGTGCCGGTGGCTGAAGAAGTAAAGGGTTTGACCTCGCGAGGGTTTTCAAAAAAGACCTTTCACCCGTTGCGCGGGGACCGTCGATATCTGGTGGTTTTGGCACCGACTCCCCCCGCTAGCAGCTGTAGCGATCCTCTCGGATCCCTCCGAACTGGTGTAGCGGCCGCTCGGGGCACGGGGTAGGTGGAGCCGGTCCGGTCAGTGGCGGTTTGGTTCGACGCATCGGAGCGGCGTTGTTGCAGCGGCGCGGCGCCGGAAGCGGCGTTGTTGCAGCGTTCTAGCGAGAGGGGGGTTGCAAAAGAAACAGTGACGAATGAGTGCGCGACAAAAGCTCTTGCAAATACTACGGCGAGTTAGCTATAGAGATCGATAAGAAGTAACATGTTGCATGTTGTGCTGTTGTGGCTTCAGCGATGGCTTCTTGAAGAAGAAGCGGGGTCGGCTTGAACGTGGATCTGCGGAAGCTAACAGCAGCGAAGCGTTGCTTGATCCAAAAAGGGAAGTGTACGAAAAGAAGGCTTTGCACGCCTTAGTTCAGAGATAGTCAGAACGTGAAAAAAAGACTAAGCATTGTCACAGTTGCTGAGGAATGCTGTGCCTGCTGATCCTTTCGACGGTTTTCACGATTGCAGATGGCAGGGTGTGCTTGCCCGATGCCGTTCCTGAAGATCAGCGACAGCCTCTTGATCTTATAGTGAGAAGAGATCTGGCATGTAAAAAATCGACATGACCAGCCGACACAAGTTGTTCGGCAACAGCAGCTGTTTTTTTTGAAATCAACCACAGACCCGTTTGAGGCACCTACCATGGATCTGCATGGCTTAAGGAACCAGCCACTGGCTTGGGTGTGTAAGTGGGTGTGTGCAATGTACTGTATATATTAGGGTGACCGCTAGGCTCCAGGGTGTTCTTTTCCGCTAGGCCCTCGCAATTTACATCGATCATCATCGATCTACCGTCTCTCTCGTACTTGTTGAAGCCACAGGGGAGCATACATATAAAAAATATAAATATAATCCCTAGCTCCTATTGATATGTAAACAGCTCCCTATCAAAAAGACTCCAGCGGGGGAACCGCGGGGGAACCTGCAGTTTTGTTGAGATGTTTAGTTGCTGCATTCATTCCTCCTAAGCTTTGGTGCATGCACCCAAAGCTTTCGTTCCCCACCTGTCACGTGAAGATCCCACGTCTCCGGGCCCCTGCGATGCTAAGGGTTCACACACTTGAGAAGGTTGCTCCGTGGAGCTTCAGGCTGTTCGCGGTGAGCATTAGCACTTTACGATTACTGCAATTTAGACCTTGACTGAAAAAAGTGTAGGGTCCGAGCAACAGTATGGTTGAACAAGAGTGCAAGTGAAGTGATTCAAACAATTGGAAAATTTGCAGGTACGCAGTTGGACGTCTCCAACTGTATCACAGGTGACTGATGAGTGTCTTTGTTAGCACCGGTCTCATCAGCCCCTCCGGTGCCCCCTGCTGAGTTTCTGTACATTGCTCCTAGTTTGCGGGCAGAAGTAGTAGAAATTGCTAGAATAATGCCCTTGGAAACAGGGGTGGGCACACACACACACGCCTCCCGTGCTGGGAGGCAAAGAGCCCTTTTTAAGGTCCAGACGCTGGTGAAAGGTTCTTGAAGGAAGGGAGGAAAGAGTGAAAAATTCCAGGAAGGAAGAAGGGAGCGGTCCATTTGCTTCCCCAAACTTGTGTCCACCTGGAAGAAAGAAAGGAAGGAAGGAAACTAATGTGCACATCTGCGCGGAAGAGGGACAAAAAGTGAAGACATGAGAGGAAGACGAGACAAGACCAAGGTAGTATGTGATTGCGATGGAGGGGAAACCAAGTGCACAGGGACAACCGATGAGCCCCACCTCCTTTGTCAAATACCTGGGCCACCTAATGCCTGTTTGAAATGTACGGGTGCGCGTATACACACTAAGGGCGGGACCGGTGTGCGCGCAAAAGAAAAAAAGGAGTGAGATGACCGAACATGAAGGCATCAGAGACGTGAAAGGAAAGGATAAAAAAGTGTGTGTGCGTGTGGAGGGCAAATGAACGGGAAAACAGATGAAAGGGCCAAACCAAATGAGGCCAGACCTCATTAGAACAACCTAGGGAAAACCTGCCTTGTTTGTGTGGGTAAAGCGCTGTATGTGCATAAGGTCGGGACCAGTCGCTGCGAGCTACTCTAGTCCCGGGCTTGTCGGAGACAAACCCTTGCTCAAGGGCTCACCCGGGGCACCTCGGGCTCACCGGCTGGCACGAAGGCCCTAACGTGGCGGTATTAACGCGTACGAAGGCCAGGCCGCCAGAGCTGAGAAGAAACGGGGCCTGAGTAAACCAGGGCCTTCAGGACATCAGCCAAGCGCTTAGCGTCTCTCCGTCTAACGCTCAACTATTAGTGAAAAATCTGCAGACGTACTGTCCACAAAGCAAGAGTTTGAAAGTCGGCAGGTCAAATCCAAAATTCACGTACTGTAGTTCTTTCAGAAAAGAATTCAAGGAACTCTTCCTTGCACATTTGCACTGAGGCATCTAAAATGTACAAGAGCGAAGCTTCGCAAGTGATCACAATTAGATTCAGAAAAAACACATCAAATTGCAGGCACGTTTGCAGCTCTCACCATTGGCCTCTTCATTGGCCGTCCACCAATGGTGAAAGGGATGGCCTCTGTGACTCCAAGGGTTTCGCACACAGACACTGGGAGCACACACTTCCGTTTGTGAGTGCACATGCATGAAAACACACAAAAGCACAATATCACAAATCAATCATGCCGTTCGGTTTGATCGTGGGCGACTGGGTTTGGTCGTGGGAGGGGGAAAAGGAATTAGGAAAACGGAATGGGGGCTGAGAGGGTCAGCTGAGAGGGTCACCTGTCTACATGAGCATGTTCGACAGGATATGACAGGGACATGTTTTCATGCGCGCGCAAGGGAAAGAGGGAACGAGCGAAGAACGAGGGATGCATTCTGATGATGAACCACCGTAGGATGTGCGGCCACTGGCTGTCATCGATTGTAAGAGCCATGTGGCGTGGAAACCTACCTGCCAATTCAGAAATGGAAAACACGTGAGAGGAAAGTGCAAGTTGAGGGAAATCTACACCCGCACCACTCACAACACCCGCGTTGGAGAAAGGTTGGAAAGCTCAGCGCCCCCCACTCCCTCAAGGGAACCAAGGGACCAAACCATCAAAACAACCAACAAAAACAAATCATGCTAGATTACACCCCCCCTCGACAGTCACCAAAAGAGGACAAGAACCAGCTCAGAGGACGGAGGATCCCACACAAGACAACCAGGGAGGGCGCAACACAGCTGGCCCGCAGATCAATACCCGGCACCTTTTGCACTGGGATCAAAAGAAGGCTCTTGAGCCTCTTGCTAGTCACGATGCCCTTGTTACTAGTTTATGTCCTTCCGTTTCGGAGGACAAGAGCCAGGCCAACCAAAAGAACTGCAACTCCGAAACTCCACAGGATGACGGGGAAAGAAAATCACAATGACCAGCAAGTCAGGCGGGGAGAGGTAGTTCCAACGGCCACTGGAAGGGCTGGACTTGTCATAAATTGGCCGCTAGAACAATGCTGGAGGATGTTCATATCCAGATCTAGGACAAGGAAGGATGCAGATGGAACATGTTATTGATCATTGTAGTTCTGATGCCAATGGACTACAAGGATCAAGGGATCGAGAGGGAACGAGGAGACAAGGAGCCAGACCAAAGAAGACCAGACCAGCCAAACCACAGGAACAGGGGAAGAACGCGGAGTGCTGGAGTTTTTCTCTTGATCCGGTTTTAGAGTGTTTGTGTGATGGTGCTTTTAAACACCAGGGACACCCATTCCTGGGAATCAGGGACACCCATCCCTGATTCTGGTGCTTTGGATCATCAAATGATTCCCAACGTTGGGTGCCCCTTTGTGAACTAACTCCACCGGTCGACGCGTCGAGACGCACCAGGAACATCACGATGATGGGAAAGTCCATGCCCCTGGGAGTTGCAGCTGGAGACTTGGATATACCACAGAGTTGGCCCTGAAAAATCCATGTGCAGTAGGTGATAGTAGGTGGTTTGAACATATCCAGACAAATCCTAATCGAGTCAGAGGATAACCTTTACGCTCCCTGGAACTAACATGGAAGTGGAAAACCACCTTTTTGTAGTGGAAAATGGTCTTCCAAGGGGCCATTCTCCGCTGCCATGTTAGTTGCAGGGGGAGTAACCCTTTTGGTGATTAATTTCTCCACTCAAAAGGTTGCTAGGAACCCTGAGGCTTTTGCTCATGCTTGATATCGTGAAGGAGCCCCAAACACTGCTCATGTGTTGCTTAAAGCCATAGGTTTTTCGGGAATCGATCTGGACGGGCATTCGCCAGTTCATACAGTGCAAATCACTAGATACCGGTGATTTTCTAGGTTGGAGGCCATCGCTATTACGTTGGAGGCCCTCGCTATTAGGTTGGCCATCGCTTCTAGGTTGGAGGCCATTGCTATTAGGTTGGAGTCCATTGCTTCTAGGTTGGAGGCCATCGCTATTAGGTTGGAGGCCATAGCTTCTAGGTTGGAGGCCATCGCTCTTAGGTTGGAGGCCATCGCTACTAGGTTGGAGCCATTGCTATTATAGGTTTAGAGGCCATTGCTATTAGGTTAGCCATCGCTTCTAGGTTGGAGGCCATCGCTATTAGGTTGGAGGCCATTGAAACTCCATGAAATTCCTTCTAAGTTGCAGGCCATCGCTACTATTAAAAGGCTGGAAGCCATTGATTCTAGGTTGGAGGCCATCGCTTTTAGGTTGGAGGCAATCGCTATTAGGTTGGAGGCCATCGCTATTAGGTTAGAGGCCATTTCTTCTAGGTTGATGGAGGCCATCGCTATTA